TTGAATATTCCCTGGGAGGGGGGGGGGGGCATAGGAAACTGCTAATTTTTTTAGCAAATTCCGATCACAAAAATCCGTTGATAGAAACTCATCATTTGAGGCCAATATTATCCCCCATGAGTTTGAACTGGGACCCATACTCTGAAGTTGTTATCCAGCATCCGAAAAATTCCTGGTTCCGCCACTAGTTATCTGTTGACTGTATGATAAAGAAAGTGTGATTGTTGGTATAATCACGACGCTCATATCTGAACTAGTTGGACATTACTTGTATTGTGATAATCTGACTATTTTATCAAAATTTTCTTGAAAAGTTCCGAAAATATACCGTAAATCGCGTATCTTTAGGAATAGATAAATCCTTATGAGCTCTATTACGAACAAAAGTTGAAAACGGATGGGGAACCTTACACGTCACGAGAAATGGCAAGCGGCGCTCTACAAAATCCACTATGTCTGAACTCGCCCGAACTCGGCAGTAAGATGCTGTTAGGATAAGTTCATATGGATATGCACTATACTAGGCCCACCTATCGAAGGCAATCCGCTTGACGAATATATGGTCCCCGAATCGTGATAGAGCGAGAATAGGGCTATCAGAATATAGAAAAATAGTTGGGCTTTCGATTACTAATAGCGACGAAATATGCAAAATACTGCTGGTAAACAGCTAAATCTCCTGTTTTCGCGTAATCTGTTGTAGGTCGAGATAGGTCAAACCAGAGAGAAACCCGAAATATTTATATACGAAAATGAACAGCTCATCAAGCTCTACAAAGCTTGAAAGTTTGAACGAACTTGGAGAGATTCTTGTACAAAGTGACGAGTTAGCTACGGGATTTATCATCAATAAAAACGGGAGTTTTTTAAGTTCGAATTTGACCGTCCTGAGTGGATTGTTGTCTACGTAATTTCGTGAGCTTTAAATGCTAGTTAGAACAAGAAATGTGCGTTTTTATGACGTTGGATGATTGCAATGATAGGATAAGTTGCTAATGTCCATTGATATTAGATTCCTCCTTTCGCTGAATATGTTTACTTAGAATATTCGGACAATATCGAATTGTGCAAATTTTTATCCTTGCATAATAATTCAAAAGAGGCCCGCAGGATTTGTGATGAAATCTGCCACCCTTTAAATTCAATTGGGAATAGAGTGGAAACATGAGACACATGCTTCTGAATATTTCTACATCTTTTTTTTCAGGAATTCTTTCGTGGAGGAAAAATCTCTATATGCATATTCGACCTCGCAACTATGCGATATGTTGCTGTGTAAAAAAAAATCGGGTCATACTGAACCTTTTTTCGGTACCATTTGCAGAACCGTTTTTGGTTCTAGCAAAAATATCTAGAACCTAAAATGGTTTTAGCCAAATGTGCCGAACTAGAAAAGGTTTTAGACGCTAGGTAAAACCTTTTATGGTTCAGTATCGCCCGATTTTTTTTAGAGAGTGGACATAACTCTGCTGAGATTTTTCTCATTAGCCACATATTCAACAACCAAATTGATTTTATATATTTTCGATTTTACAAACAAATCTCTAACGCGAGAATAATTCGATGGGGGAGGAAACCGATCGTTCAAAAACTGCGTTATATCTGCCTCTACAACATATCCAATTTTCAGCCCAATCGGTACTAGCCAGTTTTATCCACATGAAAAATATCTCCAAAGATTCACTTATTTTCACCTATCTCACGAACGTCGGTATAACGATCTTGAAATACATATCCAATTCGGACCACTGATTGAGTGTTACAATTGCTAATGATAAATCCACTTGTTGCGAAAAAGTTTAATCTTTTGCTCCGATGTTCTCCTCTTGCTTATATAAGCGAGTTTTACAGATATTTGTTAGTCATATTTTAAAGTAAATACAATCCCCATAGTTTGAATGTTCGGAAATACAGACTGTATCGTTAAACTTCATAAAGTCTATTCATATGAACATTTATTTTCAAATGAGTATCTCTATTTGAATTTGTAGACAAGCAAAATTTAAGAAATTGATACGAACAAAACATAAAAATATGATAAATGAGTTTTTTAGACACGGGAATGTGTTTCTTGTCAATAACGATCTTTGTCATCCATCGATACAATTATTAAAATCCCTCTATTCATTTTCACTTGATTCTTCATCGATTGTTTCCTCACTGTCCGATTCTTCCGTTGTTTCTGTAATGGCTTGTTGAATTCGACGACGATCTTGAGATGAATGGAAATCGTTATGACGAGCATATGACAAATACCATATAATAGAGGCAATGTGACTGCAGCAGCCAATAGTTCTAGCACCTGCCGAATACGTGCAATACCAAGCTCTTATTGGATCGCCGACTAAAGAGTACTGGATCCAACTCTTGTATCGAGTAGCGTTCGAATGTCGACTCTGAATGATGCATCGTAGAATATCTTCATCGCCTTCTCCTATTTGTAGAAAATAATTTTCATCGTCACCTAAGTGTTCTTCTGCATAAGGACGAGCTAACTTAAGTTGATAAGTGCCAAAAAACAAAATACGTAAGTCATGAAGAGAAAGTTCCGGAAAGTCAAATTCCGCATCTTCAATTTTGCTTGTCCAACGAGAGCGTGTCGACAGCGTTCCAGCTTCGATTCATGCGAGCAGAGTGTTTTGCTGTAAAAGACGATCTCTCGTCAATTGAGCAAGTCGCTTATGATAATTCGAGTTAAGATTATCCACAATAGGACCACGGCTGGCGATCAATGTAGCAGATACTATACGAACAACACCCTTTGAACGAAAAAAGTGGGTAATGACACTTTCACAACTGAATTCTATCTTGCGTAATACATAAAGATAAATAATGGGTAATGACGAGTTTTTCGAACGTATTCTGACGTATAGCCACTCTAAACCTGCATAGCTAAAACACTCATTAATCATGTCAATGCCAGCTTAGCAGTAGTTGCGATATAGTTAGGTCCATGTTTGAATTGCTCATGCCTACTGGTAAAAAAGAAATCGTTTTTGATTGACTTACTTCGATCTTTGGGATCAACGAATCCTCAATTTTATCATCTAGAAAACGCCGCTTTTTCATTCTTGCTTGGTAAGATTCCACCACCCATCTTGTTTTTGTGCATAGTCTTGATGTACTGCTTGCGAATGTGGAATGTTGTTTTTCTCCTTTTCGAAGAAAATCTGGCATTCTTGTCTCATAATCGAGTTTCTCGAACGTTTCTCTAACGTCACGAAAACCTCTGTCCAATATCATTTGACCAGAGCCATCAGACCATGCCACAAGTTTGTTATTTATTTCTAAAATTCTTTCTGCTATCGACGCATCGTTCATTGTTCCACGAAATGGTCCAATTGTATCAAGAATATAACCAGTTGGTAAGACTAGTGACATAATCTTGATTAGATGTCTTTTCTTTTGACCAGAATATGTAGATTTGTTAACCATATGAGCACTACTCTTACCACAGCAAAAGTAGGTGCCATCCCACACGATTGTCAAATCGTTTCCGGAAAACTCCTGAAACAGAAACTGTAGATTTAGATTTCCGTGTTGCCAGGATACGTTTGTGGAATGGTAACATTTTGTGAAACACGATCTGAAAGAGAGTGTTGAAGTGTGTAGGGGCAGAAATTTGAACCCACTTCGCACGGGGCGCACCCCCCACGCCCAAGCCCACAGGGCCGCCCGACACGCCGCAACCCCGC